ATATTTCTCAATCATCAACCAACACAAAAGATTGTAAATGAAACAAAGTTTTCACCTTATATTAATCATTCAAGAGTTTACAAATGATGATCATCCATACACATACAAAGTTTAATAATCACCTACATCTAACCTTGACAAAAGATGAGTTTAGCTACACATTTTCATGGTAGCTTTAACAAGAAGAAAGGAGAAGATGAAGAACATCCACTTTGAAGAAACAATGAAGGATGTGCTTCCACTTCTCTTGATTACCAAAAGTAGTAAAGATGAAGAAGAACTCAAGTATTTAGGGTTCTAGAGTTATCCAATAATGACTTTTTTCTGATTTTGCAAGATGATGGCTTTTTAAGTACCAAGTATGGGCTAAATAGAGCAACAAATAAAGTAAAAATGATGTGCTGTCTGCGCACATTCGCCTGGCGAAGGCATTCATTCGCCCGGCGAACCAACTTAACATGGCACTTCAAAGTGCCTTTGATCAGCAAACCGCCCTTAGGAATCGTGCATTCGCCAGGCGAACAAAACACTCGCCGGGCGAACATTCGCTGGCTTCACTCGCCAGGCGAACTTTGGGTGGTTTTGCTACTGGAATCTGCATGAGGAAAGCTACCACTTCTTCGCCAGCACCTTCGCCAGGCGAATGGTAGCGAAGCTTCGCTGGAACCTTCGCCTGGCGAACTTCCTATCCTTTGGGTCTGGGAGTTAAATCTGATTTATTCGCCCCAGTTCGCCTGCACTCGCCTGGCGAATATTCGCTGGCACTCGCTGTGGCTCGCCAGGCGAATGTCCTGATTTGCAACATCTCCCAACTGCTTTGCCTTGATCCCAAGTGCTCTTAATAGTGTCAATCCTGCACACTAACAGCAATATTACAAACATTCTTCGCTTGGATCGCATAAAATCAAACTAAACCAATTCAACTACGAAATCAAACATTATTAGATAAAATTGAGTGAAAATACTACCAAAAAGAAACCAAATATCTAATCTAAATGGGATCTAACAACGCCGCCGAAGGCCAGCTCAACAAAGCTCTCGCTAACCTGAAGGAGCGCAAGCTGACGTTTGAGTCCAAGAAGCGGAAATTAGAAGATTGCTTCGGCGAAGGAGCATGGGAAAGTTCAGTCGAAGGACTTCAGTACACCATTGTGCAGAGGGAATTACTCGTCGAGGGGTTACTCGCTCTGCCAGATCATCCAGAGACGAAGGAGTTGTTAGAAGAGTATTGCGCCCGTGGCCGTACTTGACTATTTGTATTCCTTTTGTTTTGATCATTGTTGTATGCTGACCATCACCAGGCTTGTTGGCTGAGGTCACGCTGTTGATTCATCTTGTACTCGCTGATACTATGTACTGCCTTGATAGGCCTTCTTCATATATGAAATTGTTGTTTCCATGATTGGACCCGAACTTTTTCTTATTATTATTATCAGCACTGGCACTCAGGCACTAGGATCGGGGGAGATCTCCCAAACACACAGACACACGCATGCATTTGCATGAAGCATTTGCATGACGAGCATCTTGTTGTTTTTCCTAACCCTTTAGTGTTTCCAGGTTTTTCAGGTTTACCGGTTGTCCCAGGCTGTTTCCGGTGGTTCCAGGATTGATCAGAGACTAATTCACCATTATCCGACTAGAGCTAATCAGACCAGAATCATGGATCAAGTGTAAACTGATGTTCAGGAGCTCCGCGAAAGGATGGGTCGCTTCATGGAGCTCATGCAAGTGGTCGCCAATGGCCAAGATCAGCTCAGAACTTTGGTTCAGCCTTTGATCTCTAGGGTTGATAGCAACGGCGTACTCCACGGTGGGACCGTGCCTACTCCTCCACCAGTTGAAACTCCGCAGAACGGTGTCCCCGTGGCCAGAGGCAACGGCAGTGCTCATGGCAATGTGATGGCCAACATCGGACTCAATACGGCGGGCGTCGGTAATGGGAGTCTGGGAGCTAATGTCAATATCGGGCCGGGCAACGGCAATGCAGGCGTCGGGAATCTGTTTGTGCCTCAGCCATGGCTTGAGGACCACCAAGATGATGTGTTCTCTCAGAAGGGTGCTGAAGGGGAGCTGAATGCTGAAGCGCGGCTTAGATTCAAGGCACTTGAAGATAAAATGAGAGACATAGAGAATCAGAATACTTTGGGCGTTGATATGTCCAAGCTGGGATTAATTGCTGATTTCAAGGTACCTCCTAAGTTCAGGGTATCTGACTTTGAAAAATATAAGGGCACTACTTGCCCTCGTGTCCACCTGAGATCGTATTATAGGAAGATGTCTGCTTATTCCAAAGACGAGAAGTTGATGATGCACTTCTTCCAAGACAGTCTTTCCGGGCCATCCCTCGAGTGGTATGGGCAACCCGACCATGTCTCAGTCTGTTGACTCTGCCAACCATAATACATGCAAGGTAAATTACACCGTATCATTAGTACAAACAACACAAACAAGCAAGAAAATAAAAAAAAATAGTCTGCATGATATTCCGGAGATACATCTCTGGAATCACATTAAATCTTTTTACTTTGAAATCTTTCGGAGATGGATCTCCGGAATATCCCAAACGCTGAACAATTTCCGAGATGTATCTCCGGAATATTCTGTAACTCAGAGGTCGCGACAAAGGCGTCCTTTACTACTTGAATTGTGAAAAATAAACATATGATCGTCCATTTGAGCCAACAAATAATGCATACACTAACTCTAAACAATGTTACTTATAATTTCTACACATTTCTACCCCTAACAATTGATTCCTACTCGTTTATACTATAACTCGAATATTTAACGAAAAATCAAAAAACATACCTGAAATTTATGATTTGAATGTTGTTGAATGATGAAATGGATGATGTTTGTTGTTTCCTTGAGCCTCCTATTGATGGAATTTGATTTGGTGAAGTTGGAGAATATTGAGAATGAGAAGAGTTGAAAGTTGTGTTTGAAAGAAAATGAAAAGTGTGGGAGGAGAAGAGTCTGGCGCGATATTAACTTCCAAAATATTCAGGAGATATATCTCCAAAATATTTCAACTTTCACTTAAATTTTGGTGCGCCCGGAGATATACATTTTAGAAATTTTAGATGGTGCAGTAGAAATGCATAGAGTGAAAAAAAAATTTTCCAAAATAATGCCACGCTACCTTACCGACTTCTTTTGAATTAAATAGATCTCATAAATTTGTAAACAAAAATTGTATTTAAATTATCATTTTTTGGAAAATATTTGAATATTTTTAATAATTAAAATAAAATAAAAAATAAAGAGAATAACAATTTAATAAAAGTATCATAATATGATATAGTTATCAAGTAATAGAATAATAAAGTGAAAGTCATACACAAAATATTAAAATATAAGTTAAAAAGTATAACTTTTTAATTAGTTTATTCGATGTTTTAAACAAATTTCATAGTTGATTTTTGAGGATTTATTGAATTTAATTGTAAAACATCTATATTTTATTTTTTATAGACAATTTAATTGCTGTAGTCTCTTTTCTATTTATTTTTTCACTATTCTTTATCTGCATATATAATTAAAACTGAGTTGTAGACATGATTTTGATAAGATGCGGGGGTTTATGGTCTATTAGAAATGTTGTTGAAATTTGCGACTTTGGGATTTTAAAAATTGCTCAAATTGGGGTTTAAGTAAAATAATTGGAATAAATTTAATTTTAAACTGAGCTAAATTTGAAAGACAATTTTGGATTTAAAAAAAATTATTTCTTACTGTTCCAAATGATTTGTTTCAAGTTTAGTTTTTTTATATAAAAAATCTAAATCATAAAATTTAATTGTTTACTTAATTTTTAATTTCAAAATTTTTAAATTCTAAAACGAAGGTGGATAAAAATGAAAAGGTTTACGAAAGCAAATGAAAAGAAATGAAGAAATCTTAAAAATTAATGAAGGTAGATGAAAATGAAAAATATTACGAAAGAAAATCTTAAAAATTAAATGAAGGGGAATAAAAATGAAAAAAGTTATAAAAGAAAAGGAAAAAAATTAAAATTTAAAAGTGTAGACGACTTATGTTAGCTAGACTCAATAAATCTTGAATTTCTAACATGTGATATTTGTTAAAAAGATTGAATGACAAAAATTAAAAAAAAAGTAATATTAAAATTTAATTTGAATATTTAGGGTGAATAAAATAGCTCAATTAATAGTATGTTCTAATTGAATTAAATGAAGAATTTAATTGATATGTATTAATAATATAAAATTATTTTATATTATCAATCAATCACTTTTATGTATTCTGTCACTAAATTTATAGTTAATGGTATAATATAATAGATTGATTAATTTTTATTAGATAATAATGTAAAATTATTTTACACTGTCAGTGTATACTAATTAAATTCTTAAATAAATGTAAATTAAGGGTTTGGAGTTCAATTATCTACATCATTTATTTATATTCATATATCAAAAGAAATAAAATGTTAATATTTATTTGATAAAAAAAATATTAATATTTATAAATAACATCTTTTTAAAATATGTAAATTCAACAATATTGTTATATTTTATAAAGTTAAAGTTAAAAGTTTATCGAATGAACTAATTTTATTAAATAAAATGGAACTCACTACCTTAAAATTAATAAATATTAATTATGAGACCAATAAAAGAAAATATTTAGTTAAATAATTAAAAATATAATTTTTATTATATTAATCAGGTTGATAATCATGCAAAAATATTTAATTGCGGACGGATTTAAAACCGTACACCTCAAGTTAAAAAAGTAAAATTCTGACTATTAGACTAATAGACAAGAAAAGTTATAAATATGTTACTCATCATGCCATTTATTATAAACACCTTTAATAAAAAAATATTCTTATTTGAGTTGTTTTTTTAACCCATTTTAATGATTTTTCTCTATATAAATCCCTCAACAGTCCATATCCTACCCACCCATTTCTATCATACTTTAAAATACTTGTAGAAAATCAGTATTCTTTATCAAACTCTCTGAAAGCTATGAAAAATTTCATTCGCAAACTCTCTTGTATTAGTGACTCGTCTAGTTACACTCTCGTCCGATCCAACTCAACCAAACCGCGACATGCCGAATCAGTCCAGTCCGATTATGTGCCCGAGGGACATGTCCCGGTGTACGTGGGAGAAGAAATGCAGCGGTTCGTTCTCAATGCAGAGCTACTCAACCATCCGGTTTTTGTGAACCTCCTCAACCTATCGGCTCAAGAATACGGTTACAAACAGAAAGGTGTGCTTCGAATCCCATGTCGTGTTTCCGTATTTGAGCAAGTTCTTGAAGCAGTTCGACTCGGTCGTCATCCACAAATTATCCGCGACCTCCTTGGTTCCTTAGCCGATGAAGCTTCTTAAGAGTCTCATTTCGTCTCGCGGCATAATTTATGAAATAATTGACAAGTTAGTGAGATCAATATGTAATTGTAATGGTTACTTCATGCGATACTTATTATAATAAAAAATTTATTTTTTTAAATAAATTGAATAAGTAATGTATTTGGATTATAAATAATCTACGTACATTAATTATTATTCAATGTATTTAAAAATGAATTTTTTTATTAGAGGAATTGAAAAAATATTTCTTAGTTGAACTTTAAATTTAGTGTAAATCACAGTCAACACATAATAATAAATTATGTGAATGATTTAAAAGAATTATGACATAAAAAAAAGAGAATAAAAGAATTATAATGTAACTCAAATGTTTTTTTTTTTTTTATGATTGTGATTAATTCACATTCAACTATTAATTCAAATGAATTAAAATATTTTATGAACAAATTATATCTTTAAACTATTAATTCACATTCAACTATTTTTTTTTCAAGTTATTCTTTCATTCAATTTTGAAAAAAATAAATATTTAAATGAGAAAATTGTTTAACAATCTATTCCCTTCAAAGTAAAGTATAAACCAGAGTGGTATATAAAAAAGTTAATGTATATGGTTAAAAATCAAAACCAAATACCTCTATTATATTTTTTTCGAGAAGAGTTTTAAGTTTTTTTAATAGTTTATGAGTTATATTGTTAAGAGATTTATATTTTAGAGATTTAATTGAATTTTTATTCAATATTTTACATCAATAATGTTTATTAATAATTTAAAAAAAGGGTATTCTAGAATTTTGTCGAGTATCTATTACACAAAATTAAATTTTAAAATAATTAAATATAAAATTTATAATAAAATAAATAAATACAAAAAAAAAAATATTTTTATGCATTGTCATTGTGAAAACTTTAATATCATCAAAGCATCACAATCACGTATATGTTATATTTTAGATGTGATTAAAATAAAAGTCATGTATATTATTATCTCTTTTTTTTTAATGGTTTTGTTGGTAGGTGTAAATTGTGTTATTGTTGTGTTGTTTGTTACTTTTTAATGGTTTTTTTGATATTTTTTTTGTGTGTCAATAGGGTAAATCCTAACCCTCTTTTTTGGTTTTGAATGGGAGTCTTTTGTTTTATTGTATATTACATTCTTTTTAAATAAAAAATTGGATTAATTGATAGTATAAAATAACTTTATAAAATATACAAGCACATATTAATGTTCATAATAAATAAAATAAAAATCAGTAAAATAGATACAAATATATATACGATCAATTATCTAATAAAATAAGTAGGTATGAATGTTACTACAAATATCTTAATTCTCATCATATGCCATATTCACACAATACATATTTTTATATTATTATTTGTATTATTACATAAAAATAGA